CGATAGGCGTCTGTGGATTCATCAAATAATACTTTGCAAAAAACAAACGGGCTAGCCGCAAACGTCCGTGCCGTATAGCGTGAATAACCCTGTATAGGCTCGAAAAACTTAAAAAATGACCGCATGAAGTGACCGCAATAACTTTACCCACTTAATATATTAATATCTTATGCATGGGCGGAAAGACCGCAATGGTCGATAGCCTTTTCAATGAATAAAGATTTGTTGTTGTTGTTATCTTATGCATATTTTATGAATTTCCACACCCTCTCTGAACTGTTAGTGAGGTCTGAAGAAAAATGGAAATATTCGTGCAAAAACCATCAAACTTGATGAGACCGTGAAAATGTGGCTACTTGAGCATTTAGTACATTTGCGGATACTTTTCAGGCTGCAGTATATCATATTTTCTCCCCAAGTCTTGAAATTCGGTAGATTTTCTACTTGTTTGAAAGTTGGTTTGATTCACTGCCGAAAATTCGAGATAGCGTTGATTGTTCCTAATCGGTTATCCCGGATGACAATAAAAAAATTACAACCATATTGTAACGAATGTGACATGAATCTTTATTAAGTTGGAAAGTGTCTATTGTTTTCATTCGATTTTCCGTTAAAAATACTACACATGTGTTTTGTTTCAATTTTATTCAACACTTTTAAGCTACTTAATCAGGTTTAGCTTAGTTTAATTAAGATGTCAAACCAAAGAGAAAAATGTTTGCGTTACATGAGTTGAAAAAGCGTCCGATCGATATTGCTCGAACGCTCGGCATCGACAAATCTAACGTCCGACGATCCATCAAGAGGTTTGAAGAGCTCGGCCATATTGGCAGCTGTCCAGGAGGTGGCGGGAAGTTCGCCCTCAGAACCAAACACATTAATCTGAGGCCAGAACCGTCAAGAACCTGGAGCTCGTTCGAGAACGTATCAGGCGAAATCCGAGGGTCTCCATGAGAAAAATCGCTCGTGGGACTGAAACAAATCGGGTATCAATCCGTTAAATAGCCAGCGGGTATCTCTATTTCAAGCCCTACTAGCTGCAAAACGTTTAGCTCTTCATCGACGATACCGATTGACCTACGACTTGAAAGATGCAAACGACTCCTTTGTCGCCACACTCCCCTTCAGTAGGAAAGAATCCTATTCCCTGAAGAGAAGCTGTTCACCGCTGAACAAGCCCACAATCACCGGGTATAGTCACCCTATACCTGGTAGGCAATAGCTTTCTGGTAGCTGCTTTTAGCAAGAAACTATGTATTTGGATAGTTCAAAGCTGTTTATTCGGTTATTTAGCATCATATTGAAGGTATCTAGAAGGACCGAATTCCCACATCTTTTTGTTTATTACAAATTGATTAACCTTTAACTTTTTTCAAATAACAGCGGGGGCCCACAATTTTATGTAAATGAATAAGTAATAAAACTATTATCTCTACATCTCCCTGACATTGTAGTTGTTGTTCCTAAGAAAATATATGATCTTCTTGATCGTTATTTTATGGAAATAGAGAGTCGGATAATTTCTTCTCCGTTAGATGCGACTGTTAAACAACTGTTAATAAACCCGAACCGATAAAGCTTATATTCGTGGGTTGTCTGGTTTCTTCTACTTGAAAATACCCTTGTTCCGGAGAAGACATAGATCTACTTGATCATCACTTTATATAACTAGATATTCGGAAAAAATTAACATATAAAACTCATTTTCGTGAAAAAATCTAACAAATCTCAATAATATATTGCAAACTGCGTGAATATTAAATTACAATGTCCTTCAATATATTCGAAAACGTACCTTTTGAAATTATTCAAATTTCACATCAGACATCACAAATTTCACATCTACAAACTAGATGCACAATATCCGATTTATATCTCTGTCTTGAACACTGCACATTCACTGTACAAGTTGGAAAAAAAGAGTCGTAATTCCCCAAACGCTGAAATAACATCTTAGCGAAGTTTTTCCATTGTATCGTGAGTGGGACCATTTTTGTTTCGGTGAGGTTTAGGAAATGCTCTGTTACGCACACCCAGAGCTAGTGATCTGTCGCTCTGGGTTGTGTGGGACTCCAGCTAAGCTGTTTACCCACTAAAACTCTTTCCTCACCGCCGAGCTGGTATTTGGCCTAGCACCACGCACCCCCTGCAGGTTGGTTGATCGCTCAGTCCCATCCTTAAGAGGTGTTTTTTGCAGGGGGCGTGTCCTGTTAAAAAGGCCACTATCATCCTTATTTTTTGTCTGCTTTTTAGCATTTCACTTTTACGCACTGGTTGTGGATGTCTCACCCACTGTTTTGCGGTAAGGAGGTGTCTCTTCCCAGTTAGTATGTTGTTCCAATATCCACTCCCGCCCTAACTTGGGCATGAGATATGCCACAAGCAGGTTCTTAGTTGGTCAGTGGTTGCTCGGCCCCTGCCTTAGCAAGTTTTCCAGCAATCTTCGTTTTGCTCCAGTTTGTCCTAGTTGTCCAAGTGAGTTTTACTCTGTTTGAGCTCCCAGTTAGGGAGTTCGACCATAACTTTTATAAAAAACCCACAAAAATAAATCTAAGAGAGTTAAATCCAACGAGCAAAGTGGCCACCGAATTGATCAATTGGTATCTATCGATATTTGGTGAAAATACTGGTTAAATCATTCAGTAGACCTTTGGGAATTATGGGTTGGACCGCCGTCTGCTTGAAAGTATGTTTTTGGCAATATTGTAATTTAAACATGAGAAATCAACTTTTGTTCAAATATACTGTAGGTATTAAAATCTGTTATATTTTATGCCCCCTGCTGTCTGTTGCAATTTCGTTGCCTAATATTTTTTTAGCATTTTAAACTGTCAAACAAATATTGGTTCTTTTTCGCGTTTTCCAAATACCACCTACAAAAAGGCATTCTACTCTCGTAGTTTCCAGGATATGAGAATTGGTTTACAAATATCCGGAATAGACGATGCTTATGTTTTCTTGTTGTTCGTTATTCAAATGTTATTTGTGTGTTTAATCTTTTTTTAAATGTTGTTTTTATTATTGAAAGTTGTTCATATGTTATTTGAACGGTAAATACCGAGTTTCTAGTGAAAAGTAAGATTTTGGCATTTTTTTAAATTTTTTAGTGGTTCAAAACGCAGTTGCAATTTTTGTATCAGAGTTCACTAGAGAGCCATGATAGAAATAGAAATAGAAATAATTAGATTATTTGGTGATGGAGCTCGAAGTAGCAGACAAGTCACGGAAGAATTCAATATGAGACATGCACAGAGGAATCCTATTAGACATAAAACTGCAGCAGGGGTAAATTTGCGTTTCTCAGAAACTGGAATTGTGTTGAACAGTGCGCTTCACGCTCAACTTCGGAATCGAGTTCGTGCCAATCCTCAAATGAGTTTACGTCTGAGGACTGTTGAATTAAATGTAAGTAAAGGCAAGATAAGAAGATGCCTGATTCGTCATAAAATAAAGCCGTTCGAACCGAAATGTCTGCATACGTTGAGACAAGGTGATGACTTGAAACGCTTAGAATCTTGCTTTTGAGTCCAGGGAAATTTTTTAAATGAAGGAACTTTTTTATGAAAAATTATGTTTACGGATGAGGCTACGTTCACTACCAATGGGATAGTATATTCTCAAAACTGCAGATACTGGTCTACAGAAAATCATCATTGGCTTATTAACTGCAAAAGCCAATATTCTTAAAAAGTTATTGTGTAGTGCGGAATTTTAGGTGACAGAATAATTGGTCCGTTTTTCGTCTACACTACCTTAAATGCTGAGCGATTGCTTAATTTTGTTAATAATCAATTATGGGGTATTATCGTAGATCTGCCTATCAACGTGCGACAAGAAATGCTTTTCCAACTAGGCGGTGCAACTATTCATTACCGGTTGGTCCGGGATTGGTTAAATCGATACTTGCCATTAAGATGGATTGGCAGAAACAGTCCTTTCGAATAGTGGCCCCCTCGCTTTCCTGACCTTGCACCATTAGATTTCTATTTCTAAAATACTACCAAGAATAAAGTTTACAAAGTAATGCCTAAAACTCGAGAAGAACTATGTGAGAGAATAGAACAAGCCTACTTTTCTTTTTTTATTTTGTTGAATTAATCATGTATTATTTCATTTTTCGTTGCTTTCATTAGCATCATTCTGAACAACTTTTTTATTAACTTTTTCCGATTTCTCTAACGAATTGCAAAATATGGCGAATTGTCCCTATTCACGAAGTAGTAAGCTGGGTTTTCATCTGAAATTAGAAATGGGCATCTGCTGAGTTGTAATAATATGTCCTATGTTCTGTAGTGCATAACTATCGTGATTTACTTTTTAAAACAGTAAAAAGTACTTACACTGGTCTTCCGAGCAAGCTTAAAATTACTAAAATCGAACAAGTTGTGTAGAAGTTGAAGATATTTAAATGGGTGCACTTTCAATTGCTTCCTCCACTTTTATTAATGTCGGTATGTCAAAGAGCCTTGAACCAAAATGATACAAAAATAGGCAAGCTTTCATACAATGTACGAAAGCTTTTTCTTTCTGAATTTGGTAATTTTCAGAGAAGGTCTGGAATTTAATATTTACTTTTTTATTGCGCCCCGTTGAGATGAAATGCGGAACGTAAAAATTATTTCCAGTAGAGGAATACCTCCGGTAGATATATTTAATTACAAAGGTAAAATTTATTTTGACATGTATGTATTGAAAGTTATACTACTTCAGTTGATATATAAATTCAAAATTGTTTTCATTTGAAGTATGAAAATAATTTAAGCGTATAAATTTAACATTTTATATTACAACAATTTAATTTGATATATTTATAATCACATTTGAACATGGTAATTAAATGGTAAATTCACTAATTAGCAATACAATAATAATACAAATGGGTGGTAATTAGTACAAGTAGAATGTAACGGCCGCACTAAGCATCAGAGATCCAAGTCTGATATTACTTATTAATGCCGATGAGCTGCTATTAGCTGGAGTGTCTGGAGTGTCTGGAGTGTCTGGAGTGTCCGGAGTTGTGTCATTGTAAGAAATTGTTACATTATTGCAGAAATCAGTGGTACAGTCTTTACAACTCCAATAATTGGTGGTATTCAATTTTAGCAAGTCATCAGAAGTGCAATTTAAATCACAGCCTCGTAAAACCTGATCATTAGCTCCTTCTGAAAAAAATATGTGTTACAATATGATAATTTTTAATAATCTCCTGAGTATAATACTAATAAATACTGACAAACGGAACTTGAAATCGTCTTCTTAGCTCGAAAATATAATGATCTATTTGTTTGGTATTGGATTTTTTAGTAGCTAAAAGTCATAAGCGATGTTTTTTTTTCGAAGTTGCAATGCACCAATTGTTCGACTACAACAATGCATTACGGGAATGTATTACTTATTGGCAAAACCATTGATTTAAATGTAAGAAAAAAACCAAAGAAACCAATTCTTTTATGTTGATTATTATGTTCTTAACCCGCCTCATACTGACATAGAACACAGATAAGCGATCATTTCAATTTCTGACTGTAGTTTGCTCTTTTGAATCGAATTGTTTAGCCTGCGTTTTCCATATTTACCTGTATGAAGAATTGAATGGGATATTAAAGGTCAGTTAACTATTAATTAATTAAGATTTTACCTTTATCTTTATACAACACCTCAAAACACGAAGTGTCGGTAGTGCAATTCTCGAATATCGTGAAGTCTGTTATATTAGCCGCAGTGCATGATGGATTGGCCGTAGTATTGCAGAAAATACAATTTCCTGCTGCTGAAGCAACTGGAACAAAAATTAAATATAACTTACAAAATAATTACCTTTCTTAGAATATACGTCGAATGCGAATTTTTTTGTGGACTGTTGTATATAAAGGGTGTCTCAACAAGAGCGCCGGATTTAATATTTAATAAAAATATGTACATATTTTTTTCGAACTAAGCAAAAATTTTTAAACATGAAATACGACATCCGGCAAATGACCACCACGAAACATCTAGCACACGGTAATTATTTTCATAAAATTCTGGATCACGTTTTCGCATACCTGTGGCCCTATTTCAGCAATAGCGCACCGTATCTCTTCTTTAAGGCGTTCAACTTCACATACACCTTTTCCTTCCCGTAACCCCAAAGAAAGAAGTCATCGGCGTTAAATCGCAGAATCTTGGTGGCCAAAGTTCATTCAAAATTGTTACTTTTGCGAAAATGTTTCTCATTTCTTTCTTCGTATTTGAAAACGGTCTATTTTTTATCCTTCATCCGAACATTAATGTTTTGCCTTTTTAGTTGACAAAGGATTGTGTCCGATCTACGCGGTGGTAAGAGTTCTAGATTGTTTAATTTTTTGAATTGATTATTGATAATCAAACATTAAGCTCTAAGCTAAATTTAACCAACTGTCAAGATCATTCATAATTTCAGTTAAATCATGATTCAATTCGACTTGAGCTTTTTTTCAGGGGTGCCGTTTGGTTGATTCAAAGATTCAAAATCAATTTTTTTTTATCCTTTGCAATGATGATAATAAAACAATTACTTATGTTTACCGCTCGATGTCCTTGTCAAGTGAAAGTGAATTTACTTATTATGAGAAGGTACTCTGTAATATGCAATCTTTTGCATAAAAGTAGCAAAGGTTGTCAATGTTTTGAATATCACGAATAATAAACCACGAATAATAAATAATAACCTTGTATCATTTTTTTGATCTTGGACTTTAATTTGCGAATTAGAAAACTTTCTTAAACGTTTCGAATTAACAGACTTTCTAAACGACAATCTTTGTTTAATCATATTAATTGTAGAACACTTACTGTCAGCTTGATGGTAAATAAAAGCCAGAGCACAAACTGCGTATATTACACTTTGCTTGAGAAACGACATTTTCTTGAAATTTACTCACTCAATCCAGGCTACACTCTTGTCACCGCATATTGTATGAACTTACTTATATATATTTTTTTCAATCTGTTAAAGTCTAGATTACCGATATCAGATTTTCAAGTGTTTTTAAGGATGTTTGATAAACGTGGTTCAACACTCATCGATTGAATGTTGAATCAAAAATTTCTCCATTCTGCACTCAAAATTGTTTACAACTAAAATGAGCAGATAGAAGAAGATATACCGAAATTGCAGTTTGTTATTCTTTTATGCCCTTTCTTTGCAGGCAAGATATTCTAAAACGCAAAAAAGTTGGAGGTTTGTTCAATAGACCTATTTCTGAGAAGCCAGGTAAGGCTTCTCGTTTCTTTAATAGTTTACCATTTTTCACACTTTGTTTGATTAATTTTTAAACAACCCACAACAAAGGAGAAATGCTTTCGTGGCCATTCGTTCAAACTGGTTAGTTTTTCGGGTTTAAAATTAACAATCCGAAAAAATCAACAGCTTCAATCATCTGAAACTCTTCAAAAGACATTTGTTTAAGAAATACTGTACTTGTAAGAAGTACTGTCCTGCTGAGCAATTGAAGCGATATTTAAATCTTTTCAGAATATACGATTTTTTCTTGGTGTTTTTGGTATGAAGTATATTTTTTCCTTATTTTCGTGCAATCATCATATAATAGAATTACTTAGTATTTCATTATTCGAGTTAATTGTTTTAATATCTTACATTAATTTTGGTTGGTTAAAGTTGGAAAATATAACGAATAATTTAATAAAATATAGCTTTATATATAAGGAATATTGTTAGCAATATAAATTTTCGTTTAAATCTATTTGTAACATGTGTCTACAGTTTCCATTCTAAAATCTCATTTTAAAAACAAAACATTTTACAATTTTAAAAGGGTATTTTTTCACTTCATATTAAATTAAACAACGTAACAGAGACGATGCAGATATTCTCGTTTTGTTTAATTGTTTAATACTAACTGCTTCATCCTATGTATATGTATGATTGTCTGGCGCTTTGAATTTGAAAACGTAGATCCACTACTGAATATAGTTGATTGAACGCAGAACTTTTTATTACTAATAGTTAATAATTGGCGAATATTTTGTTCAGAAGCCAGGTATTTAATTAGTGACTCCAGAATTATTCTTTCTACAAGAAAAGCCATTTAATTTTTCTACATGCAAATAAATACTAATTAAAATGGTTTTTCTTTTATTCCAAATCAAATTCATTCCTCAGTCATTTATGTCTCTACTTATTTATCAAAATACGTTTCGGTGTATTTTTCCACCATCATCAGTTTTTATGTGTAGCGTTGTTGCTGCTTTAAGCATTGGCATGCATTTTCTGTTTCTTTTATTGTTTGTTTCATTGGTTTGATTTATAAATGGGGTAATCTTACAATATAAAAATATTGCAATAAAAAATATTTTCAGTCGTTCTTTGAATGAAAATGATCGTGGTTGTTTCATTGCCTGGCTACAGCGATCTCCGGACCTGAACTCGTTGGATTTTTTCATTTGGGGACCTGTGAAAATACTTAGTTATTCATGCGTGCTCATATTAAGCAACTTTAATAATAATTACTCTGTCAGTGAGCTTTTATTATTTTTTTTTTAAATCTTCGCTTGGCAACTTGGATTCTGATAAATTTAATGTCCAATATTTTAGGAACCTGTCTAAAATGCAAACAAAGTAAATATGTTAATAGTAATATATGTTGCTTAAAATTAGCCATATAACTCGAATACCTAGCTGGACACCCTGTATAGCAACTAACTCACCTTTTTTTATCTGAATATCTTTCCGTTTTATTTAAATTTCCTTTCAATTTTCGGTGACCTTCTATAAACCTTATCTGCTTCGTGTCAACTTTATCAATCTATTTTACCTTAAAACACTTCTGATTTTAGGTTGCTGAGTGTCCTAAATAATATAATACTGACTCAAAATATTTTATCACTGTATAGTTGCGTCATTGCACTTAAAATGAACAGTAAAATACCTGGCACTTTTAATAATGATTTAAAAAATAGATTTTGATCTCTACCAGAGTTCTTTAATCATTTGACAGCGTGTTTAGTTGATTCTAGCAAAATCGATAAATAGCTCACTTGACATATTTTGACTTGATAAATTTTTCTGAATACTTTTCAATTATTATTTCGACTACTTCTGAAACATATCGTATTTGACATCAGTGAAATGAAATCTGATAGCGCTAATTTTATTTCAACATAATGTACAGTTTTAAGTTAATTGTAAAAAAAAATATTTCGATGCTTTGATAACAGAAATTGCATAATTTATCGAACCACAAATAATGTCAGTAATGATAATTGGTGCTGGTAGTAGATATTTTAATAATATATTTATTTTTTCTCTATTTCCAATAGTCTAAGTACTCAATTTCCATTTTTAAAATAAAGTAAATGTCTATTTAAGGTATGAAGATGCAGATTCTAGTCCAGGTTTACGTTCACCCAAATTCATCGAAAGTCCACCGAACATCTCGTATCGGGGATGGTGGACTTATCCTTATTACTCTTGTTCAGCCCGCCGGTGGTTGATGTCCTACAGTGTCCCCATTCCACCTCCAGGCCGAAGAGGGTAAGTAAATTCACTTAATTAAAATATTTTTTTATTAACCTAAACGCCGCAGTGATACTGCACCAATGATTAAACATAATTGGTATTTTAGTTATAATTTCACCATATTTTTCTACCATTTGTTTGTTAAAGCCAAAAAATATTTTTATTTTCGTGTGTTCGCTTAATATCTGGGATGAACGTGTGTTGTGTTGATTGAACTTTGGACAATAGTTTTTACATCTAATTTGAAATTTGGAGAAGATACTAAATACAAAAGTGGTAGATATTAACGTCTATTTATTTTAAGATAAAACCAATTGATACAGGGTGTCTCAAATTCAAGTGGCGGACCAAACTTCCTTTTTTTTAACGGAATGCTGCACTTTTTATTGTATATTCGAGCAATACGCAACATTCTACGCCTCTTCCATATAACTCTTCTATATTTATCTTCAACTATTTTTGAGTTAATAACCAATCTTGTACAGACTTTGACCACCCCATTTTTGCAACGAATTTGAAATTCACAGAAAAATTTACAGAAAAACTTGTTTGCTCAGATGCATTCTTTTTGATGTGGTTGATGTTAATGTTAAAATGGTCTTAGTAATTCTAGTATCGCCCTTGAAAATCCATATACAGGGTGATTCAAAATTGGCGTCATTTCTTTTAAGGGGTGATAGAAGCTCACTTGGGGACTACGAGAAAAATATTGAATTTTTTTTTTCGAAAATTTCAAGAGGATATTAACAGTTTAAGTTCAAATTTCAACTTTGTTATTAAGCATTATCTAGAAATTGTTCCATGTTGAATTGGTAGGATATTGGAATACTCAAGTATTCAAAAAAATTACGATCTTTGCTTCATGCATTCATTCAATCACAAAAAATTTTTGATATCAAAAAAGTTCTCTTCTACAATTTTTTGATGAAAAATCACAGCGGCAATGATGTTTTCTGTCATTAACAGATAGTTACAGGTGGATAACCCTTGTCAATAAAAACAATAATTTGTCAAACTGTGAGTTACTTTGAATTTCCTTTCACGAATTTGCGGATATGCGCTAAGTTCAGGGGAAATGCTTCAGTAACATAGCAGAAGCTCAAAGAACTCACGGACGAGGAGAGTGGTTCCAAACAAAGGACTAGGAGAGTGGTTCCAGGAAGAGAGTGGACGACAATCGATGTTCGGGTTCCAAGCACAGAGGAACAATTCGATGCAATTAATCGGATCAGGGCCTTCCAGGGGCACTCAGAGCACAATAACTGACACTTTCCGAAGCACCAATTAAATACCGAGGAGGGCTATGTTCCTACCGCGTTTGTACGATACACCCAGCACAAGGAGATACAAATGGAGCACGAGTTAATTAACTGAATACGAGAAGCTGCTTGATAAGAGTGGATAATAAGGAGATTACACAGGCACTAGCTTGTTTGCAGTTAACCATTCAAATGTTTGGTGTTGTGTGGATTATTTATGTAAACACCAAACCCCGCAGAATTCGAGGTTATGAGAACAGATTGACATGTCGAAAGTACGTTGCGCAGTCAACAAATCTTGTTGAATTTACCGTTCGTCCTTGTCTATCTTATTGTCACTCGGTATAATTCGATGGTTACTGGAGTTTTTCATAATGACGACGCAACAGGTATTTGCGCAATGTGCAATTAGGCAGATTACCTTCAAAAACATTGCTGCCGTATTTCTGATATAGTTTTTTGCAAATTTCTCAGTTTTTAATAACAATTAATTTATTTTACAATTTTTTCTGTACTCCTATAACAGCGCCAAACAACACCTCCAGAGCAATGACGCCAATTTTGAATCACCCTGTATATTTCACATAAAAAGTCATGTTGTGAGTGTTAGTGCTCCCCTACACTTCCAGATAACGTACAAAACATTTCACACAAAAGCCATGGGTTTAGTATTAGAAGGCGATGAATAGGCTTTATCGAGATTTCGCGTAAGAAAATTCGATAAATCCACATCATTTATCATGCTTAAGTTCTCTTTAGAGGGCTAATACTTTTTGTCCTTTTGGCTTTTGCTAGTGGATCTTAGTTTCTGGGGAACATGTCTCTAATGGGCGCATTTGATTTTACATTTTTACGCTTCTGGAGTTTGACTGAGAATGATAATTTAGTTGACATTGATAATGTCAAATTATCGACCCACTTTGGATAGCTAGTTAACGTATTGTCTGTTTACAAATCTTTAAAAGCAAGAGGTGATCATTGATCGAAACACTATATCTATTATAATCATGTTAATTTCAGGACAATGAAAATTGATTACTTTCAGCGGATAGAATATTCTGTTGTTTCAATTACATTCTCAATCGAAATATTTTATAAAAGTTGCAACAGCCAGAGCGACGAAGAAATTTAAACGAATAAATGCTTAAATTCAAATTACTCTTAAAGTAGGGCCAAACTGCCCTGAGTTCTAAAAAAAAATTGCACAGCAGCTTTTTTGTTAATGCTCAAATTATTTTGAATTCATAATTTTTTTTCTCAGTTCATAGCTCAAAATCACAGAAAAAATTGAGATGTTGTTTACTTTGAAAAAATCGTGTGCCTTTCAGTTTTTTTTGGAAAACTTTATACTTTTTTCTGCTATTTTCCATCGAGGATCAAGAAAAATAGTACAAGGTACGTGAGTCTCTTGTACCGCATTGTACTATTTCCAGTAATATATTTTTTTCTGTAATCTGTAAAAGTATGTCTTTTTGGTGTTGAATAAATATGATTTTTATGTTCGGTTCAGAAGACGACTTAGACGAAGTTATTTACCTTTTCCGAAAAGACTACCCTTATTTTCCACGAACAATTGTCTTGATCATATGGTAATTGGTTGATAATAAACTTAGATGGAATCAACTGACATTATGTAAATATAGTCCACTATTAAGAGAAATAATGAAGAAAATCGAAATTCTTTGAAAATATTGAAAACATGATTCAGATAGACTTTTGACTTTTTCGCAATTTTAAGCGGTTTAGCGATAAATAAACCACCAAGTCACAAAATGACTACTTACACTTTCGAAATATAAAAACAGATCAATAATTATTCGTGGAAGATAAGGGTAGGTTTTTCTGAAAATGTACATAATTCGAAAACTAGCGGTTTCATAAACTGCGAATAAATCGTGCTTGATGAACACCAAAAGTTGTTAATTTTGAATCAAGTGGCAAAAAGTACGAAATACAAAAATGTTAGATTCTTTTATTATCTACAACTTTTCCATTGCACGTTTTCCGCTGGGCGGTTACGTTTCACCGCAAGTTCAAAATATCGTTTTCCACTCCTAAACTGCATCCCCAGTTCACTATTTCTAGTGTTTTCGTTTATAGATAAGTTTTAAACAAATAATTTGGCTATAAATTACAAGCAAACCATAAAAATTTAAACTTAGTACAAAAGTTAAAACATTAAACTTTACGAAAAAATCAGGGGCGCCACTAAGGTGAAACCGAGTGTACTTTAACGGGGCTGTAGAAAAACACTGTAATTACCAGATGCGATATACTTCTAGTTAGGCTTTAGAATAAAAAATCCATATTCTAAACTAAATATGTGAAACTATTTTCCGAAAGGAATTTGGCTAAAATGCTTTTTGGCTTTTATTTCGTACCCACATAAAACTGTTTATTTTTTTACTGCTGTATTCTCATATCTCTAATTATTTTTAAGGAACCGTCTAAGGCCCAGCTAGAGGTGCTGGCTGTTGGCCCCAAATTTTTTAATCATTGCAACATCAAAACCAGACCATCCACGCGTTTAATTTTGACCTATCAATATGATTTAAATTGTCTTAATAATATTTGTTTACCATCTTCATGCCTCAAAAGCATCGGATCAACTAAGCGATCTTTTTTAGGCGTTACTAGGCGTTCTAGGATTTACTCAATCTTAATTAGGTTTCATCTGTAGTGAGTCTGGAGGAATTGAAATAAGTTAATTGCTTTTCAAATGTCATTAGGTATAATTGCTTTTAGGTAACAGTCGAATTAAAATCTATGTACTTGGCATATTAAAATGATAACTTTTTTGGATCCATTATTTTACAGCTTCAATATAATGTGTGATTCATAGTCTACGACATAGTTTTTCAGCTTTCCAACTCCTTCAATTTCACTGGTCAACACGTCTCCCGGTTTTAAAAATTCTGGAGGAGATCTAGTTTCTCCCACTCCTGATGGGGTTCCAGTGCATATCAAATCCCCAGGAAGGAGTGTTAGAACGCTGCAAAGCAGAATTAAAACATTTTTGTCTCGGATTACTTTTCCTGTCACTACCTGGAGAGATGCTCAATTAGTTCATCTATTTTGAATAGTAAGTTTCGTGTGTTGCCATTTTGCTTCAAAACGCCATTTACCCACGTTTTTGCGAAGAGGTTGTGTGGGTCAGGAATCTCATCTTTAGTGACTAAACAAGGGCCTATGGGGCAGAAGTGGTCCATATTCTTGCATAAAACGTATTGTCCTCCTAGGGTTAAAGTTCTATTATTTGAGATAACATGTCATTGAAAGTACGGTCTTGCTTTGATTGAATATTTATTTGCCTCTTGCGAAATTATTAGTTGAAGTAACTGGCATATCTTGAGATTACACTGTAATTCAGTCCTGATAAGGATATAAATATTATTTTGTATCGGTACTAAGAGATTGCAAAGTGACGATTTTGATATACAGACTTAATATAATATAGAACAAAGTTTCAAAATCTTAATGATTCAAACTATGACCCATGACTGCCAGTAGTAGGTCAAACAAACCTGGTGTCTTTGTTCAACTTAAAAAAAAATTATTATTAATATTTGTAACCTACTAACCACTCTTTGACATCCAATCTGTTGCTGTTAGATCTTGCGCCGCTGTATATCCAAAAACGTAATCGAATGCGTTTGCAGCCTTAACGTTTCTTGCAATTTTACCCATCACCACCACCAACTCTACTTCCCACTCAACAGCCTAAAGTCGGAGAAAAGGGGGAATCGTATGAAATGTTTAAAATAATATATGATTATGAAATATGTTCTTAAACATCATGATGAGAATATCTAAGCCATGCAATGTTGTCATAACGAATATATTCTAAATTTCATTGTTTCGCATCCTAGCGAAAGTGGAGATTGTGGTGAAAATTGATGTGTGTCCTAAAACAGAGATTAAAATTATACACATAATTTTTAAGATGTCTGAGACTTGTGTTGTGCTAAATTCTCTTCAATATTTATTGCGAATGATATTTCGGATTTTGCTGGAGTTTAGTCACTTTCCCATGTCAAAAGTGAGTAAAGGTATTTGAAGCTGAATTAATTGCAGTGAATTGAATATACTTTGAAGTCTTAATTAAATACATTTTTTTCGATATTGTCAGTCAGCTGATTGCAGACATTGCAGCTGGAGAACGGTCTTTTTGCTTGATTATTTTCATTCAGTTTATATAAATGCCTTGACTTAACTTAACCTTAACATTAACTTAGCCTTAACTCGGGCCATTCGTATTATCGAATACGTTTTTCTTAAAACGTGTTTTTTTACATATATTATATTTCTTTCTGCCTTATCTCTCTTTTATGAGTGCAAGTTACTTATGTGATTTCAAATTTATGCGAATAATCTATGAGGTTACTTATATCTCGTCTTCCATAAAATAAAAATATTGGTCTAGTTCTTTTCAGCAACTCTATTTCTATAATTACTTTGCGGTTCATTATTTGTTCAAGTCATTTTGCACCGACTTTAATCCGCTTCGGATTGCACACAAAATGCAGATTTGTAGCTTTTGAGCTGTTTCAATTCATTCCGTTATATTTAAATTATTTTGTCCAGCAATGATAGGAGATTATCAAATTTATTTCGACGATTGTTATGGAAAAGTACTTGTTCCAATCTGTGGTGGCAGGAAATCGCGGAAAACTTCTGGTGGCATTTGTTTAATAGAGAAGAGCTTAATAATTGAGAAGTAAACGGGTTGTAAAGCAAATAAGCAGCATTAACACTTTTATGTGCCAGTAATTATTTTCATAATCTTATTCAATCGGTCAAGCAAGAGTCCATTTTTATAAATGCGAAACACGCGAAATCTACAGCATATCGTATAAAACAAACAAATGAATTGTCCTTAGAAGAAAAAAAAAAGGAAAGTAGCCTCAACTGAATAGATGACTACTGAAGTTATATCGAGGGCAGTACTTATAAGCAACAATTAAGGTCCTTAAGGTAAAGAAACTTCACACGAAATAATAAACTTCTTAACAATATGGTGCTCTACCAACTTTGCCCTAAATTTCGAACTGGATAAATTCTGACTCCAACGAACGATCAGATTTCGGTTTAAAGCGTTATCTAGTCCATTTCTCTTTTTGTAATTTGGTGTTTTTGCAAGTCTTAAGTGCTTCAGGTAAGTTTCGTGCTAGGTGGAAAATGAAGCGATGCTCAACTTGTTGAAAGTTTTTTTCTTATTGATAGATATGATTGATAGTCAATTTAAGCCAAAAATTCAACATAGTGTTGCATTAAAAGTGACCTAAGACAGAACTGCCATCGAAATATGGGATTATAGCAAAATTTTAAGTAAAGTTAACTTAATTACTTTCAAGCAAACCGTTCGTTTTTGCGACGTTGAATTACGATTTTTTGTCTTTGCCGATCACTTTGTAAATTATCGACATACCTAGATAAAAAAATACGAAAATATTTTCGGGATATGAAGTCTATCTGTATGCCTTTGATGTTGAAATGTACACAAAAACGTTTTTGTTCACCTTTCGTCATGCCTCCATGCCGATTTCAGGTATTTTCAATTGTTTCCTTTTCCTTCTTGTAAGAACTTCAGGTGAAATACTGATAGATAACGTTTGAAATAAAATTCAATGAATGATCCAGTTCTGAATTTATCCAGTTCGAAATTTATGGTAAATTTGGACGTGCAGGTTTATTTTCTTGAACAGTTTACTTTGAAGAAGCGCTGCAATCCACGGTGCTCTTTTGTCAATGAGAACTGAATGTGCTAAGTGAATTTATCTGATCAATTGTGCAGTTTTATGATCATAATCATTCTCATCATCAGCCTATAGCGTCCACTGCTGAACCTCTCATATTTTGCCATTCTTTCCGGTCCTGTGCCATCAGAATTCAATTTCCAGTGGGTCTCCTGTCGTAATATTTCTATGTCGATCGACCATCGGTTGCTCTGGCCACATGATCCGCCCAGTTCTACTTCATGCGCAGAATGGTCTCAACAGCATCTCTTACTACTGTGCTGTGTCTGATGATTCTATTTGGGATTCTATCTCGGAGGGTTATTCCCAGCATTGATCTCTCCATCTTACGTTGTAAGCGTTCGTGTGCCAAGTGCATGTAATAATCACATGTATTAATATACAGGTATTAATATTCATTGCTTTGAGGGCGCAATGGAAAACTAAATTGTGTAACTATGAATACTTCTCAACTGATTAGAGCGATATTACCATTATTTAAATGATGCTCCTTTTTGTCTATTTGCCTTTTACTTTGAAGTCACCTTTGCTGCTTTACGAATAAAGCAGCTTGTATTTACGAATGTTAATTTGGAAAACATCATTTGCAGGTGCTAGCAAGTCAAGCGATTTTTCTTTTTCAGTTTTTGCGAATATCCTTGTTTTTTTTTGTGAAAATTATTTATTTAACTATTTCTCGATAGTCCCTGCGCCATATTAAGTCACCCTTCATATGATCTGGGTTTTGCTTAATTTCACTTTTATAATAATTGGCAATTTGGAAATCGTTTTGTTGGTATCGTTTGTGGAGTGAGAACTATAATTTTATTAGCTTTCTGTTCTATTTTGTAGCCATAACTAGAAACACGTAGTCTACATTTTGCCTGCCGCCATTTTGAATTGCACCATGATTTATGTATTTTATTTATATGATTTGCGCACTTCCACTGTGTTTTGTTTTAGTATAAGTTGACTCTAAGCGTTATTTGTTTTATCGCAGAATTTTTAATTTAGTGTTGTATTTCTCTAATTTAATTAAATATTTTATAAAATTAAAGTCCAAATTTCACATCTCTTTGCTGTTCTTGAAATGCGTTCCACTGTTTTATTTACGTTGTCCTTGTAAATTTTGCAGAACAATTTTTTTTTCCATCATTCAAGTGGATCATTTGCATCTATCAATTTCGAGTTTAAATAATTTTCCACTAATTATTAATATTTTGCTAACTTTAATTATTCAAGTATCGAATGCCAAATATTTCTAAGCGATTTTTTGTGACCGTCTGATTTTCTAAGAGTTCTATAAATTATCATGATTGCATTAGAGCCAGAATAGCATGTTGGAACAATACGTATTAGTCGATGTAAGTTTTGCATGCAAGTGGCTAAACTAGACGTTATTTAATTATTGCTTTATAATAAATTGGGTTTCCTATAGAGTTATGTGATTTATGCTGTCACAGACGTTTCCTATGAAACGTAATTCGAGTGAATTGACTAGTTTTTAAATGGAAGTAAACTAGATTTACTACTTAAAGTGAATTACTACTTTAGATAATTGTGATTTTATATAACATTGTGATAAGTCGTTCTAATCTACGAAAACTATCAGCATAACATCGGTATTGTCGACGTTTATATTGTATCGTTTGGTGAAGTGAATAGATGATAAAACCAATTTGCCAATTGTTTTAAAATAAAAGCAACTACTCCTTTTACAACAAATAAATGAATATTTCATATATTTTTACTCACTTTAAATTTTGATTTTAATGCGCAACAGCTTCTTTTTTAACAATTTCGTGGCATATTTAAAATTGATTTCATTTGGGGTTCATTTCGGTGTAAAATATTCTGAAATTAAGCAAGAAGCTTTATTAGACTGGTCGCCGTACTGATAGGGCCGAGCAGTCAAGTTATTTTAATTTAATTTAATTTTAATTGTTTTGTTATAATTTTAATTTTAGCTTTGGTCTGTTTGTTGAAAGTTTGTTATCTGCATTTTAGACCGTTTTAACCAGTTTTTACCCATTTTCGACTTTTTTCACCATTGTTTGACATGTTTTGTTAGGTGTTCTCGGGGATGTTTGCTTTTGTTTTGACGACGGCCCTGATGATGACATAATTGTCGAAAGTACTTGGCCTTATTTACCTGCTATATAAACACTTCATTACATAAAACTTGTTTGATTGATGTTATTCCGAAATTGACTTCACGATAAAACCGTATTTTGTTGCACTTTTTTTTGTTCTCACTGGTGTTTAAGATCCTCAGTAGTAAAAAAATATGAAATGAATCGGGAAACACCATTTTTTAAAATCTGCAAAAATTTTTTTTTATTTAGCAACAGTTTTTATTACGTACCTTTTTCACTCATTATGACAAATTTAATTTAGTGAAAAAAACTTATGGATTTTGGAGATAATTTGCAATGATGGAATCATTAGGATTTAAATATTTAAAATTTCAATGAATTTTCTACCTTGCTGCATGTGGGATGTTTAATTCGATCGTATGGACCGATTATGGTGGAAGCGAATCGATTAAAGACTATTGGCTCTGAGGGATACTCTATTTGTTTCTCGTCACAATAATCAGAGTAGTTGTGAGCGATTCCTAAAATTTTATCAGGCCCTTGGATAGGTGGCATCAAATGGACCCTATCCACGGGATATATTGTGTTTAATGGATCCGCAGCTACCCTAAAACAGAATATGTTTGTTAATGTATAGTATAAGTAAGTTATGCCAGTATATTTCGGGGAAACCAGCTTTCACCAATAATCTTTATACTATAAACGCTTTCTGAAGCAAATTGTTACTGTTAAAATCACAATTGGGATTTTTTATCGTGCGCTTTTAGATTTTATCGTATTTAATCTAAGAAGTCTAAAACATCATACACCTGAGATATTCAAGTACATAATGTATTTATTGCGATGACCTATATTGCTGACAAATCGAAAGATTAAAATTTTAATTAACTTAAAAGCACAGGAATTAGCCCTCACGAGTATAGACACTGTTTACAATCGGATAGGGAAAGGGGACGATAACGTTGAATGGTATTAAAGGGCTGCGTTTCACTGAAAATTAATTAAAAATTACTACCTCTGTTCTTGTAATCATATATGGATGCGAGAGTTTCATGTTCTGATCACGTTCAATTGTCTTTGTATTACTGTTTCTATTTTTATTCGGGCTCGCTTGTTTCTCTGTTATAGAGATATTTTAGTTCCAAACAGTGTACATCAGACCTCACTTTCCAGACTGCGGTTTAAAATTAGTTGAAAGTTTATCCTTCCAGGTTTATTTTTCATTTAATAAAATCACACCAAAATGTCAAACCATTTACTTCAGATTATTTTGACCAGAAAAGTTGCTAACTAATATTCTTTGAAATTTGCTCGTTGTAAAGCGCATACCGAACAAATTTTTCATTATTTTAAGAAACTTTTATTGATGTGAACTAATTGATTTTAGATGGGGCGCTTTGACCTAAATTTCCTCAAAATCCAATTTGCCCAATATATCCAGGATATTTCTTATTACAGTTTTTATATAATTAGTATGTTTTAAATTAAGTCCATTTATGAGCATTTCGAGCATGAGCCCGACATTTCAAGAAATATAACTTCAACTGAAACATTTCCGGAATTATAACTGGAGCGGATACGTGATAGTTCATGTTTAGCAATTAATGTGATCATGGAATTGTCTAGTATATAATTGATATATTGCGTGGTGTTTCCCAGATGCTTAGATAATAATCAGCACTGTAATAATAGCTAAACTACCCAAAGCCTGTAACCTTGCAAGCTCGAATTTGGGTACAATTATTATACATATATTGCAAAAAGCAAATCGGGGTACAATATTGAATAATTTTAGTCCTAGATAAGCGCTTTTAGTGGAAAATTTATGTTTATTAATTGGTACCAAACAGATTACAATTTTTAAGCGAATATATTATTTGCACACATAAACACACGCTGAAGGCGCCAAGAAGTTTTAGAAGCTATATTCTTGAGATGTGATATGGTTTCATTTTATCCCATTTGTTTGGCAGTTTGCAGAGCGCATTATAAAAAGGCTCGTTCCGACTTGGCACTCGTTTTCAACCCTCTCCGATATCTGAAGTACTTTAAATAGCCGATGGTTTAACATTTTTATCTTATTGAAATAGAATAATTTCGACAGACGGTTACCCAAATCGGAAAACATTTTGCCAATGGTTTCTTGACTGGCAAGCAGAAAACCGGAATTTCTCAGCTCTTCACAGGCGAAGCTGTATTTACCAGAGAAGGTCCTTTTAACTACAGAAATAATCCCTACTACTAAGAAATAATAATGAGAACCCGTCTCCCACTGGCTTACAAGGGTACCAGCAGGGTTTCACCCTCAACATGTGGGCCGACATTGTTGGGGAGAAACTAATGGGACCGTACCTTTTACCGGCTCGTTTAGACGGACAAAGTTATTTAAACTTTTTGAAAAATTATTTAGAACGTGGATATGTTTCCAACATGGCGGAGCCCCTTCACTTCTCAAAGCCTATTATGAACATTCTGATATTTAGATTTTTTCATCATTTACTGAGAGGAGTTAACCCTCAAAGTTTGTACTTTAGCGCCGTGTATAGAGGCAAAGCTAAGATTGATTGGCACATAGCAAAAAAGTAAATAGCTGGTTCTAATGATGGGAATTACTCGATTATGGAAAAATCGAATTAATTCTATGAATGTTTCAAAATGTTTCCAATTATTTTAATTATTAATATCATAGGGACATGGAAATTAGAACGTCACCGTTTCAATTAGTCAATATTTTAAATATTTATGTTTCATTTATATTTATATCGATCAATATTGTTTATTTGATATAACAGTGTCACAGATATATTGATTTCAATTAATTAATCTAAGTTATTTCGATGATTAAATCAACACACTATTCTTGATTTTCTTCTTATGACTACAGTCTCTTTGATGCTTTTGAAGCTCGTTACAGGTTTATTCGTTCGTCGTTAGTGTCTCGATAAAGCGTTATTGCTATATTCATAAAATGGAAGAGCGGCAACACATCAACTTGTATATGAAATTATTTTTTCTGTTACAATTCTTTCGTTTTGCGATAAAACAACTTCCAATACTCACAGTTTCAACTTCTCGTACGCATTTTCGTGTTCGTGAAGAAATCGCACTAAATCAATTGGTACCCAGTTCGCATGAGAATTGAGATCGATAATATTATCTCCATCCAAGGCTCCCAGCCGAATTTTGCCGGTGCTTAGCATAAAATGGACCAGTCTCATTTTAACTGAAATTCTATAATAATATTGAGGAAATTTTAAGGCTTAATTCTTAATCTTAATTCGATTTAAAATTTGAGCTGCTGGAAAAATTAATTAAAGTAAACAAAGGCATTTGCAGTTGATCATCGTTTGTAATACAATTAACAAGCTGATTCAGGCAAGCACAAACAGCAACAAAAATACATAACAGCAATTAATTAAACCTTTCATTTAGTCGAAACTAGTCCCTTACTTGTTATAATGGGAAGTGAATGAACTAAATATTGATGTTTAAAATCTCTTTAATGACCTCTGAACTCCACTTAGATTAATGTAAACAGAAATATTTAATAACATTTTTGTTATATATTGCGGTTATTATGTTTAATCTCTGCGGTTTAGCAGATAGAGCTGTCGTTTATGTTATGGTTCCACTAATTAAGCTAATTAAGTGCATATTAATTGCAAATAGGTAGTAGAATCCCTGTAAAAAAACTGAGTTCCAAATTTATATTTATAGAATAGATCAGATAGTGTTTCAAGTTACTGAATAGAGAGATACAGATAATATTTCTACTGTTGCTCGTTTTCAGACATTTCATTTTCAAAAATGAAAACATTTGTATAATGACTTTAGAAATTATAGTTTTTATTCTGTAAACACCTGCAAGGTTTACAAATTTTGCATCAAGTGTTCAAAATTAACATTTTCAAATATTTTGTATACTTTAACAGAAGTTGCCAAAATTGAACAACTTTTTTGGAAACTACTTATAAGAGGATAAATACACAACTCTGAACGTCATTTGAATTGTATTTTATTACACATTGTTACATTCCTGTTAAGAAGCGTCCAAAAATTCGTTTTTATTCTGTATATCTATTATTTTCTTATACGAGATGCAATATGTTCAAACAAGCCCAAATGCACTTTATAACTGACATCTTTAAATCTTCTGTTAGAGTACAAAAATCATTAATATTAAAACTAATCTAGTTTGATATTGCTTGCAAATGAGTCAGGAAGTGGCGTCTGCAAGTTCATACAAACGATGCTAAATAGCAAGTTTATATTACTTTTGAAAACTGATTATTTATTTGATTAATATTTTTTGATAACTGAAAGGAAGTACCTACTCATATTATGGCAATTACATAGTGAAATTTCTACACAAGTGCAATAAAAATTTTTGTGATTCTAGTACATTAAAAACTTTCCACTTTTTAGATTAAATGATTTTTGCTTCAATTTTAACACAAACTAAGGTGTCGAAAAGATTAAAAATTTCACCAATGTTACGAATATGTAAGGCTCCTTTCATGGCGTTTCTAGATGAACTCGGTCAAACTAAGCTCAGTAATATCATTCTTCAACAACATATCTTATTCCTTCTCCATTATTATAATAATATATACTAAAAGTAAAGTTAGGGTATTTGATGGAAATCACTTACAGTTTTCTAAAAGCACAATTTGCTGCAGTCACCCAATCAGGCACTCTTGGCTCTTAAGCACTTGTACTGATAATTTTTAGTTAAGAACAACTTTATTAGATAACTGACTATAATAAAATCGCTTATCCATACAGCCACGGACATATCATGAACCGCGAGACAGTTTACACTTGTTTATGTAAATATTTTCAAAATAATTGTAATGAATTCTTCTAATATTGTTTATTGCGAACCGATAATAAATGTTAATAATTTTCAATTCAAAAATAGTATAATTAATTTATGAACCCTGCCTGAGTTCTATTTTTGGAGTCTTTTAGACATTCGCAATTAGAAAGTGGAGGAAACGTTTGAAATGTAAAGTCAAACATATTTTGTATTTCTTTAATCATTGATCATCTTTAGTAGCTGTTCCAATGTAAGTTTTAAAATCATTTTTTGCAACATTTGTTTTACGTTTTTATTTGTCAGCGCACAAAATTAGGGACCTCTCTATCATTCAGGGCACTTTAATGTTCTCATTAATCGTCTCATTTTACCGGGAAAGAATAAATCGTAGTAGCAAACGTCTGCTAACGTTTGCTACTGATGTGATTTGCACATTATGTACTTTAACGATTAACTTGATGAAGATGGTATACTTTTGTTTATTTAGCCAGGCAATTGGATCACTTTGAATTGTCTGCTATCTATTAATTTTAATTTAAATCAGTTATGATAATTTGCTGTTATAAGTGTTATTATGTGAAAGTACATTAATCTACAAATACTGTGTTATCAAAGGTCTTCACTGTAATCTATCGAAACACACATTTGTCTTTCAAACAACTTCTGTCTATAATATCTAATTTTCTGAAGATAAGTTGTTAGAAACTCGTTGTTTTTATTATGTTTCCACAGGTCTTTTAAAATTGCCATACTTACAACTACTTACTTAGGTTTACTATGAGTTAATACTTTAGGTATTAATTTAAATACTTTGTTATTTAAGTATGTAAGTTAACTTCAACAAACACACTGATTGATATAATTTATGCATTATTTAATTTTAAAACCTTTAATTCAAGGTACATAAAATGCCATTAATTCTTTCAGTGTCACTAGAATTAAATGAGATTGATGGCCAATCAGTACTTAATACGGATTAATCGTCATTAATTTGATGCATGACGATATTTGGTTTTGATTTTGTTAGAAAGAATTGTCTAATCACTACCAATAATACCCACTTGCTCTGTTTTCAGTTGAGTTAAAAGTCAAGGATCCTCTGAAATGAAAAGATAGCACGGACAAAATAACTATAAAATTTGATAATAATTTATTAATAAAATTAAATATGTATCTTAGAGAAAACATCTGAAGCCATCGTTTGATAAAATTAGTGAAAACATATTTTTAAACATATTAATAATGTGACTTCCAGGCATTGTAAGTACTTACTTTTTATGGAAAAAAAATCATTTTAGATGATGTTATTTTTGGTTGAAACTGTCGATAATGTCTAGAGTGACTGAGTGTCATGAGTCAAAATAACACAGTCACCCGACTTATGAATAATCATTTTAAAATTATTGATTAGTAATCAATTATAAATATGAAGAGTGAGCTGCTTTGTTAGAATGCCCCCCATGAAGTATGTGTTACTCTATTTATTTATTATATTAATTTTTATTTTAGAAAAAAAATGTCTCTAATAGATAGTAGTCAAACTTATAATTAATATATCTAAATTGCACGAATTAGTAAATAAATATGTGACAATGGTAAGAGTTTATTTACTCCTTTCTCTAACTATGCTGCTACGTTTGAATCGAACATATTTTATTGGGGCGTTTTATCAATTTTGCTGGAAATCTTTTTGTTATACGCCATTTCACCAATTAGTTCTAGAGCAGCGTTTCCCAAAGGAACTTAGGAATGTTTCAGGCATGCTTTGCAATCTCAAAGAAGCGCTTTTACAGATTTAATTTTTTGAGATTTAGAACGGGTAAAGATACATTTGCATTCCAGAGCAAGTTCAGTGGTCTTATCGGTGTCTACTTTTATTTGAACCTTGCCTTTACTGTGTCTAATTTTTTTTTAAATCTTGAGCTCGTTGTAAATATGCAGCCAGTTGTTTTATAGATTAATATTGTTTTCATTCCATGCAAGGCAATAAGGTAAAACGTAAATTTTTTATATTTACCACGGTGTTGATGTGGCATACAGAAAAAATATTCTGGTTGATTCAAGAATAGCGAAGTTCACCGAAGAAACAAGTATTAATGTTCTTAAAAAAAAATTAATTCTTAATATTGTCTCAAGTTTCAATGGTTAGGCGCACTCATTTTGGCATAAGTGATTTGAGGTGATAAACATTCGAGCATTTGCAGTAAGTGAAAGACGGGCAAAATTTGAGATTAAAAGTTGATACTATACTGATAGTGTTGTATAAAGCAGGGTTAATGCACGATTTTTATATGATATTTCATATACATTCACAATTATAGAATATCTAACTATATAATTTATTTTACATACATTTTCCTCAGCATTTGCAAAAAGATAAGGCAATTGGTCTTCCCGGGAAAATCCTTCATATTATACACGATACACGTACCTCTTCTGTCTACAAAATTTTACTTTCTGAATGAAATTAAATTAACAAAGAATTGAAAGTAAAGGAATAAAAATAAATTTAAAAAATGGGCTATAATATGTATTGGCTGTCTAAACATATCTCAAAATAGTATTCTTGACGCAGCCAGAAATTAAGGAAAGTAAAAACATAGTCACAAACAAGTATAATAATGTAGTTTTTTGAGAATGACTAAACAAGACAAACTGGCTAAAATAAATTAGAATTAAATCAAATAGAATAAAACATAATGAATTAAATAATATGCCGATGGAAAAAAAATAAAAATAAAATACTTTCTTTCAATTTTTCTGTTGTTTTTCTTTTCAGTTAACCAATCTCGTACAAAATCATACAAACTAGAGCAATAGAAAAATATAAACGGGAAAAATGAACGAACGAATTCAACGGGAAAAATGAAAAAAAATTACGCCCTCAGTACATACAAATAATCCAATTATAAGCAAAAATATCAATAGAAATGAAGCATAAACGAAAATTGAGCTCTTTATCAAGACATAGTGTATCTAACAGGCTTGGAATATAATGCTATGCAATCTATCTAAAAGTATCAATTTTAGGACGAGGCATTATGAATTAAATATTCAAATGAGAAGCAAAATACACACATTTAACGGGAAGGTAGCATCATTTCTCCCCTAAGGTGAAAACTAAACTAGTAGTAAAGTTTTTTGATGAAACGTATAAAGAGTTGAGAAGTTTTCTAGAAAATTGACTTTAACTGATTGCTCGTACAATGAAAAATAAAAGTCAACTTTTTCCTTTTGTTTTCATTAGAAACAAACAAAAGATCCGCATTGGTATGATATATTTCCCAACTAATTATAATTATGTTCCTAAATGCCGGTTAGATCAATAATTCCCTGCCTGAGACCGAAAACACCACACTTTTCCTCATTTTTCAACTCTTCCATTATATTTTTTTAATCGAGTAGATATTTATGATGTATGATGGCTTAGGCGGGTTATATAGGTCGGTAGCACTGTCGCAGCAAAAAAGGGGTGTAAACATTTCCTGCCACGCCGATGCCAAGTTCGAAAAGCTGCTTATAAATTAATAAATAAATGGTTTGACGAAGAGCTTAAATCTTGAAACGTAAGCGAGAGGGTAAAAGCAAATTAATGATGTTTATTCATAAAACTGCCGAGGGGCAGATTTTTGGCTGCGGTCTTGATTTGTTAAATTAAGCTGGCTAAATGCAAATGTTACCATTTACTTCTTGGAAGTTTGCGACAACACCTGCAATCAAATAAAAAGTTTCTTGGCTTCAGGGCATGATAAACTTAACTTTTTCTTCTCGTGATCGCACTTGCGTAACTGGTAAGAACCAGTCCTTTCGGCTTAAGTCGTGTAGAAGCAACATGAAATGCAGTGAAAGGCCAATTTCTTCTTATTTCAAATAAACTTTTCGTTGAATTTTGAGATATGTATCGATCATTTTGCAGTTGAGTTGCTATTTATTCTCACTGTCTTGTATTTTGTATGTAATTTGTATGTTGAAAGAACAACGAAAATATATGTTTTTTGGATTTATTCTTAATGTTTTCTTCTCCGAATCAAGAAGTTGTTTTTACATTTTGCATTTTACAATTCAGTTGCATTCGTTTTAAGTACAATTTCTAATGAATGTAGATACGTATTGTGATAAAAATTCGACTTTACAGATCAGCATAAGGTTTCCTTTCTTTCACTCCATACATTTCAAATATGGATAGAAACTGCATAGAAAAATTTTAAAAATTATTGCCGCTATTTAAAAGTGTTTTCTCTTCATGTTCCCAAAACGCTTTTTCAATCTTAGATAACATTAATAACTTTACTTTGAGCAGCGGCTTATCACAGAACAACCATGCATCAATTTTTAGGTAGAGCTGCGTTTTTTTATCAATTGAAGATGCATTTAAATCTTGCTTAGATATTATGCACAATTTGAGAGCAAATGAAGCAATTCAGAGTCACAAAAAAATGGAGCAAAAAATGCCGAGATACTGGAGCCTAATACTAGAACAGGATCTCTATCACGGCTAAAGCGGGCGCAATAAAGCCAATTTACAAAGTTTATTATGCAGATAGGAGTAATAAGGGCAATGTTACTTTAATTGCATAATAAAATCTCCTATGTTTCTTATTAGCATAAAGTCACCTTCCAGCTACTGTTACTGTTTTGGAATCTTATTCAGCTTAGTAATTTTGTCGCATCAGGTTAGAAACGACTTCGAAATAAGGCAAATCTACTACATAATTAATATCCAATATAGCAGCTAAAATGTAGGTAACTGGATAGGTACAAAATGTTGTTATTAATCGAGATAAAAGCAGTTTTAAGTATTTTCACTAAACACTTGCACCAGTTTGTTTTCAAATGCATACTGTAATGTCACTGAGGGTAGGAGCGAGTATTTTACATGAAATCACACAACAACTAATCAGTTGTGTTGTGTTTGTTTGTGTTGTGAATTTCTTTTAAAATATTATTAGTTGTATCTTTGAAGGTTACCTACTTTACGCAATTCTCACTTATATGAGATTACTTTGACTTTCGTAGTAAGAAAATAATAGAAAGTTGACATTCCTACAAATTTTTGGCAAATAACTGCCTTGGATTTGTAGCCTTTAATCATTATACTAGTATGAGAAAGCAAACGTAATGTCTTAGTTTATTTAAACTACTCCATTAAAGATGTATAAGTTCAAACTTTCAAATATGCTAGGAAACTATTTAGAAATACATTTCAGTAAGCATGAAAAGAACGCATTTACAATCAATTTCATTGAATAATTTATTATACATCTCAAAGTCCATACCACTTTAAGTCTCAGATTTTGCATCGTATGTAAAAGCTAAATCCCGTAGAAGATGAAATCGTGTTACTTTCAAGGCAAAAAAATGCTTCTTCCAACTCATTTCAAGTTCTCGCTCCAAAGTTTGTAAGTAGCTTTGCACCCTCTCCCATAATAAGATTTTCGGAGCACCCTTTAAGAGACCTGTCTTAGAACATAAGTTTTCCGAATGCTGCTGAAGCGCTATTTGTCTTAATTAAACTAGAGAATTAATATATTTCGAATTGTGTGCCTGCCGTGAAATATTGAAAGTGAAGCTTGAAACTATAAGTAAATTAGCTTTGATTTGTTGTAGAAGCTTTTTGATGCATACGCATCAAGAAGACTAATCGCCTCTTTTCGGCTAAGAAGTTAACAAATATTAGAAATGTCATAAATGGTACTTCTCTGAAATAATTCGGTTACAATTCCTGTAATTTGTTGTCAGTCATACTTTTCAACTTTTGATACGAATCTAATATTCAGTTCGTAGAAACATACATATTGATAATTACTTAATCTTGTTGCATGTCCTAAGAATACTACTGTGAACGAGATACTCTGAAATAAGTCTATTGAGATAAGAAGCACTTTTCTCAAGGGACACAATCCCAAACATTTCAGATGTGATTCAGCATTTTAATATTTGGTATGGCGCTGGAGATAAACCGTTTATCTCCAAAAGCTTTTGTATCAAAAATTTCCAGGTGACTCATAAAGGTTTTTTTCTGGTGAAAGCTTGTTAGTTTGTTAGCAATCAACTTGTTAAATAATTAACGAATTTCCTGCAAATAGCGCAAATCCTTAGGCACTAAATTTTGTAGAATACCACTATTGCTCAATTGTTACAAACGCTGAAGACCTTCTCCTAAATTCTTGTCTATTTTGCTTTTGAAACTCAGTATGTTTCTGTTTTTTTGCAATGTCAATCGATTCTTCCCATCTAAACTTCTTATCTACTTGTTGCTTTGTTTTCTTATCGAAAATAATTTTATCGTCATCTCGTTACTGGAAAATGAGCTAAACACAATTATATTGAATTATCATTTTAGATATTCTCAATGTTTGCTTTGTGTAACCAATTTATCATTGTTTGCTCAGCCGAGTATTAACGCTTTACTAATGGAAAATGTTTTTTCTCATAATGAAGCATGCGTTAATTGAAATTCGGTTCGTTATCTGAATTGAAATTTTTTTACTTGACTTGGTTGATAAATCCGCAAAACTTTTCGATGTTTGATCAAGTACCATTTTGGGAAACCCATTACGTATTAAGGTTTCACTTTGTATTGATTTAAACATGGGCTAGTTGATTGATGAGTTGTAGAAGTTAAGGCACACTGAAGATGATAGATAACCAATATGTTAGAGGGACTCGCCTTCTATTACAAACGGCCTGATTTTTCTTGGATATTCTTCTCAATTTTCGAATGTTCTGATGTAAAATACAGTTTTTTATGCAGTCTCAACAAGCCCAGTTTTGGACTAGTAAAATACTATAGAATCAGTGAAATTAATGTTTTAGAATTTTCTTTACTAGATGTAACAACTTCTAATAGATCTTCCTTTGAACATGATTATTGTTTTGGAAATCAATTCCCCAGGGTGTGACATTACGTAGGGTTACTTTACAAAATAGACTTAAACTAAATAGAGTAAAATTTTCTAATAAAGTTTCGGCCTAAAGTGAACCGTTTTATGCGATCGCACAACACGTCTCACAACCTGCTGATTTAAGAAATGCAAGATAATTCTCAAATCGACCCCGAAATTAATGAATTACTAGAACGGAACCTCAGCTTTTTCTGATCGATAGAGAAACATTTTCCAACATATTGCCTAATTCATGATTTTGAAATGTTCAATATTGATCTACTTTAAACGGTTGCCAAAAAGGAAAAGACCAGTAAGCATATCATAAATATCTCCAAACTGGACATTCTTGTAAAGCCTGCGCTGGTGATTTGACTGCGTTTCATGAGGATTCTCGATATCCCATGAATGGTTATTCTTTCTATCGCTAATACATTTCATGTAAATGTTAATAAATACATAGGTACATTTTTCTTAAGTAGCTGTCCATTTTCAATAATCCTGTTGCAAGGGTCTGCTGTTGGGAAAATCAGTTGAGAGGAGAGTATGATCAGCTCAGTCAAGATTTATTAACATTACTGTTACTAGAGATTAATACTCTAATAACTTAATAACAGAACACTGTTATTAATTAAACAGAAAATGTAATGGATATCGGCTTATTCTTGCGTTCTAAATTTAAAAAAAATGCTCCAAAAAACGACTCAAAATGGATATATAAATTGTTGATTATTTTGGATTTGAGAAGTTTAGCGTGTTTTCAAATGAGCATTTCTGTTGAAAATGATGTAGGATTCAAGGAATTTTGAGACACGATTTGCTAAAATCAACCACCAAATTCCAGTTACAAATTTGAAATGTTTGATCGAAATCGATTTTTGGGTTTAGTGGATTGTTTCTAACCTAAGAAGCTCCCCAATATACAAATAAAAGTTTTAGGATTTTAAATAAAAAAAATATCACCGGTTATAAATTGTAACCGCTCAAAAACTACTCTAAATGGGCAGAAAATATTGATTCCTTCGGATCTGACGAGTCTAGCGAGTTATCCAATGAGCCCCTCCGCGAATCTCTTGCGTAAAAATCATGTAGAATTCAAGATATATTGAGACCTTCTTTTGCTAAAATCGATCACAACTTTGAAATTTTCGATGAAACATTAAAATTCCGCAACAGTGGCTTTTGGGCTTATTGATCCGAGTCTCGGATTGTTTCCGGCCTAAGAACTTACAAATAGTATGCATATATAAAGTTTATGGATCTCCAGTAATAGAGATATCGACGATTATAAATTGTAATTGCGCACGAACAAGACAAAATGGACAAAAAATGTCGGAAAAATTAAGATTTAATAGGATCTGAAGAGTTTAGCGGGTTAGTCAATGAGCTCCTTACATTCCTCGAATAATTCGCGCGTAAATGATGGGAATTAATGATGATGGAGTCAAGGCATTCCGAGACTTTTTTGCTAAAATCGATCACCGTTTTAACTTTCAAATCAAATCATCAAAATCAAAAATAAGACTTTCACAACCATAGTTTTTCAATTAATCGGTGCAACCAGAAAAAGTAACTTTGGTTTGCTGTTTGACTAATAAATAAAGGTATCTCCAACATGAATAGAAATTGTACTTATTATGAATTATAGAAATTTAACCCTCTGTGATATAAAAATGTTGCGGAACGGTTTTTGATACCCTGCATATTACGCGACTTTTCAAGCTTTATAATATATTGATTAATTTTATCACTGGTGACAGGCTTAACTTATAACTTTTGTTTTGTTTTTTACTTCAGACTGAAAGGCTTTCTCAGTTTGGATGTGGATGTATCTCATCTGGAAGTCAACCAATGTGAAGCCCGTCCGGATTTTCCATCGCCCAAAAGTATGTTTGTGTTTCATGGATCGCACAAATGCCACAATTTTACATCGGAAGTAAGTAGTATAAATCTTGAATTTAGACTTCTATCAATGAGTTTTGAAAAACTTTTAATAGGGGATTTGAGCCACTGCAAATCTGTATAGGATCGTCTTTAACTTGTAGCTCTAATTGTGAAAAGTCTCCCCAATTATTACAAATTTTTAATGGTAACTAGTGATTTCTCTCAACACATTTTTCGTTTGGGCATCTTGGATTTATGAAACTAGTAATTGGGTGCTGATGATTATGTTTTCGCTCTGTATACTTCATAGTTATTTTTCAAATCACTATCCTATTCACAGACAAAAACAACTTATTTTGGAGGTACTTTTTCATCCCCTATCCTCTTTCGTTGCTGTTCAATCTGATTTTAATTCATTCAAAAAATATTCTAGTTGGTAAGCAATTTGCAATGTTGGATGGCATCCAAGTATTCTTTGGCTATCTTCCTCCTGAATCGATTCAATTGATTTTTAATGCTTCGGATTTAAAAATCTGAGCACCAGTTAGCAAAAACTTGTCGAATATTATCTGGATTATTTCAGTGATTAAAATGTTGATGTTTCTTGAAAATCGAAACCAATTAGCTGAAGATAAAAAATTAACTTCAGAGAACTGAAATGTTATTTAATAATAACCAAAAAATATTTAACTTTAATGTCCTATTTTACACCAGATGTCACCATATCAACAATTTCGTTCCTTATGAGTAATTATGGCTTACCAAAATACTAAGTGGACATAATCCGCTATGACCAATCAGCTTTTATTTTATTTTATCTAGAGCGTTATATATGATTAACTCAACATAATCCACACTAAGTAGATTATAGTGAAGCATCAGCAGGGAAATACTTGAAAACAATTCAATCATTTATTTTTTTAATCTAATGCCAATGCCGAACAATCACATCTAAATCTTTACTTTGCAATACGATTGGGCTATATATAATCAAATCCTTCACGATCGTGAATATTAACTAATTCTGGTACTATTATTGGACTAGGTGGCAGCACAATTTGCAGGCGGTTTAAAGGTTTCGGAACAAATTGGGGCTGTTGAATCCGAATTATTCTCACAAGTGGTGCGGTTCTTGGTACATCACTGTTTTCGTAAATCCAGTCTAGATACGGTCCAATGCTGAGGAAAACATCATGTTTGCTACATGAAGAATCAGAAACTACGCAATCGATGGACCTGCTCAGTTCTCTGGCTAATCCTACCAGTTTGCCATCCATTGCAAAAACTCCTGGCCAGTCAATGCGTCTTCCAGTTGCTTCTACACATTGCTCAACATCTGTCATGAAATCTTTCCCGTAGAACTCTTGACACTGCTCTTGAGGACGCACTTTAACCGTCATAAAACGTAAGATGTCGCTCATGAAAATCGAATCCATGTATCCAGTTACGTTCAAAAGAGTACCAGGCAGCAAAGGGAAATCATATTTGGATGGTAACTTAATCGGTTGAACTTTCGAAGTGAGAATAGCTGGATCTCGAAGCTTTATCAACCCGATATTGTTCACTAGAACGTGGTCGGTGTATCTTTTTCCGAATTCTGGATGAGGTAGCAGTTCTGATGCCTTAATTACCTGCCCTTTTGTTCCAAATATGTTGTAGAAAGGGTCGGATTCGGTTCCCAAGTGGACTTCAGCATGATTTCGGCTAAACATAATTTTCATTGATTAATAGAGAATACGATAATAGAATCGTGATAATTGTGTTCTGCTTGGATCATTTTCTCGAGAAATTACTAATAAATAAATTTCAATGATATTACCTTTCAATGCATATTGCATTTACAACAACGAATCTTGTACTAATCAGAGCTCCTAAGCAATATAAGTCGGCCTCAACGTATACTTGATACGGGAATAGTTCTGGACTGGTTTTGGTTAGTGGAGTAAGAAGTTGCTACAAAAAGTATATAAAGCAACATTACAATGGTTCGCTAAAAGGCGAAACGCGTGTAGCTTGAAATGGGTTTTATCGTATTGGATGTTATCGACTATGAAAACATGGTTTTGTAATATTTACTGCGCCTCTTCTACCAAATGTAAAGTCGAAAAGTTGGGGTCGGTTTTTTCTCTAATATTCCTCGCCACAGAAGTCGTTTTTGTACAGCTCTTTATATTTAAATTTTCTACGCTCCCGATGAAAATGTACATTTTGTATGCTAAATGACACGAGTTTCAAATACGCTTATATGAGCTTTATTTTTATTTGCTCTCTGGCCTGGTATTTTATTCTTCTTACTAGTCAGTATGTGGCTTTATATAAATGCAGATTACAGTCTCAGATAATTTAAAAAATATTTTATACATCACAGTGAATGTCTCAGTTATCAGCAGAATAATGCGGCTTAAGATTAAACATAAAAATATACGTATTTGTTCTGACAATCATACCTGTTGAGAGAACTCAATTACTCCCAATAATGACCCAAAGATCAGCCAGATACTCATTTTAAAAATTTTCTCATTGAAGGCTAGTGCCTCTGTCGACAACTTAGACAAACAACTAATCGAAATAAGCAAAGTTTATTAATTGCTGGTTTTTGGTATGTTTAATTAGCGAGCTAAGAAGCGTGAAATTGGAATATTTTATGGCTACATAAAAATGTTGTAATAACATTGAAAATAAATTTCTGCAACTGTGATATGCTTACATCACTTTTCCACGTGATTGGCCAGCTAAATTGTAAATTTTCTCTATTTTTTCTTAAGTCCTCTTTATATAAAATCAAGATGTTGCGAGCTTCCGATCTTTGGAACGACGCAGATGGAAATCTATTGTGATAACAACTACCCAAATAGTGCGGAACTATCCCTCTCGGCTGAAGATTAGCTTCGGTCGGGAAAGTGTCTAATTAATTTGCAGAGGCCAAGACCACACTCCGGCTCTTGTCAGAACAAGCTTTGATTACACGTTCCCAATAATTGACCCAAATTAAGGGTCAGTAACGGTCTCCCATAGGAAATTTCTTCGAAAGTTTGCGTTCTGACCAAATTTGTTATCTTATATAAATATGAGCGTAATATAGCTTTTCAGTTCGTACTGTACTATTATGTTTTGTATTCATTTACATTATTTGTTTTACTAAGTACATCAGCAAGCATTTAGAAATGTTCACACTTTTCGTCATGATCATCATCAAATCTTCTTTCTTAACCCTGATTGGAACAAAGTTTGCTCAGAAGCAGTTCAATGATGAATTAATGAAGCTACTGAAATAACTCAATATGATATTTATGATTTATCCCTGAAATTCTTTGAAGATGCGCTCGATTAAAAACTGGAAAATTTTGTGTAATTTTCGTTCAAAATTCCTTTTTAACATTCGCTTTATGATTCTCTGGTTACGAGTCGTCCCTGATTTCTAGAAGGGGCACCTTCTTTAAATAGATCAGATCTATGCAACATGTATTGGAGAGGGGCGAAAGGTTCAAGGGCAGGCCTCCGGTTCAACGAAGCACCGGAAATTTTTGCCCAAGAGACTACATCCGATTCGTTCGGCTTAAAAGCGGGAATTGGGAAATGCGAGTGTGAAACTTTATGACTAGGGATAGCGATTTATTTGAACTCTTTCGTGGTTTGATAGTCATTTTACTTCTATTTTTAATACGATCGTTACGTTCCAAGTTACTAGAATTACTGTTCTGTCTTTATTTTGTGGCTTTTGTGTTTAAATGTCCACACTTAATAACAATAAAAACAATAATTTTAATATTTTACATGTTCTCCCATTGGGACAATCAAAGGCCTTAAAATTTGTACATATCTAATGAAATTCTTTCCAATTCCGGCTTTTTTATTAATGTTTTCAGCCTTTCAGTTGAAAGACATCAATAAGTGATGACCCAATCAAACGAGATATTTTTTAAATTAAGTGTGTATTGATCAAGGGTATATTGATGAAGGGATCAACATTACACATTTTATTACCAAAAATATCTCGTTTTGATTGGATTTTCGCCAGTGTGTACACACCTGCTTCCTTCCAATAAGTGATGATCTAAATAGCAAATATGAGGATTTTATTTGTTTTATTAATTTATTCTACATAATTAATCAACATCGTTTCAGTGATGTAAGTAAACTTTGTACGCGATTGTCGCTTATATCCCGATCTGATGCAATTAGCCGTAATTGCTAATTATAGCAGTTTCAAATTGCATTATCTGTGATGCAAATGTGACCCTTGCCTCGCCTTTGCAAACAATTGCCAAAGATAATTATCAGCAAGCTGCTGGTCCAACATTTTCCAATCAACAAAGTCGTATTCATCTGATCAGGAATAAATAACAACCAAAAATTGAAGCTGTGTGTTGTCATAATTGAGTATAAAATATTGAAACAAATGGTTTTTAAAATGCTTTAAATAAAATTTATAAAACTCATTTTGGTTAGAAAAAAATTTTTGGCTGTAGGATTTGAAATGTTTGGGGCTCTAGGATTTGAAATGTTTAGATTATTAATATTATGGAAAACGCCAGTATTGTCTGCTGTATTTTGCTATAATTGCTGTACTTGCAGCAAAACATACCAAAATGGTAAAAATATTTTTTTTTATAGAGCACCCTGGATAATAACTTGAGAAACAATCAATCTAAAATTATATATTCTATTTCTATACGAAAATAAAGAATTTTCAAAGATAATAGCAATTTTTATGGAAAATAAATACACAAGTAACTAGAAGTATCCGATCAAAAGTGTTAGATATTTTTTTTAATGAAAACCCACGATGGTTGTTTAATGATTCTAGCACTTTCAAGCCGTTTCGTTAAGTTGCTTTTATTCAAGTTCAGAATAAAAACCGTTAAAACTAAAAATAGGTTTTTCTCTAAAAACAGTTCTTGGAATGATATATTCCAGATATATGTGATTGATTTAATAAGATTTAAAGAAGTTTAGATTTCAAGTGTGAATCATACGAATTCCATTTTATAGTCTTTAAGTTTTAGCAATTTTTTCAGATACAATAATAACTATATCGCCTTGTTAAAAATGCATAGCATGTACTCTTAACATCCTTCAGATTTCTGTCGTCATTGTCTTCATATAAAAATGCTGCTAATGGAATTCCCGGGCTTTTTCTTAACAAAGACACAAAACGCAGATTCTAAATTGAAATTCTTTTTGAAAAGTACACCATTTTAAATTATTCAAATTTTAGTTACAAACTAACTGTTTTTCAGCGAAATTTTGCCTGTTTTAGCAAACTATTATTGAACATTCTCAATCCTGTTGAACATGGTTTTTCTGGACATTGGCAACTTGCTAACTTGGCTTGTAGATTGCTGAGCACCACTGTCAAACAAGTCCAGAATCGTCTTCGTTTGAACATCACCGGGACGAGTTGCTAACAAAATATTTCCATTTCGTACACTAATAAAATAGAAATTAGTACTTTGAGTCTCGAGTTCAATTAAGTTAATCAACGCCCTCAACCTAAATTTATATTAAAATCTACAATATGTCGCGAAAAGTTGAAGTCAAATAAATTTGTACTTTTTAATAGCACGCTACGTTTAATTTGCTTAATTGAATTATCCAGGCAACTTCATTCAGATTCAATAGAGTTGTACGGAATAATTTTCGCTATTAATGCATTTTTATTAAATAAAAAATATCTACCCGATTTCTGTATGCTAGATATTTCATCATCATTACATAAGATATTTAGTGTCAAATTGTCAATTAACATTTTAGTTGGTATCCGTTTAAATATTTTTAGAATAGAGACATTAGTTTGATAGTATAACTTTATAGCTTATAGCATCATGAGCTTTTTTCAGACCTGAGATCAGCGGAGAAAATTAGAATTCGTAGCTGTTACGTGCTCATGTTTTTAAAAGAACTTTATATTCCTTTGCTAGTGCTTTGGAAATACTTGGATATTCTCCCACTCGCTTGTGTTATATTTAAATGCACTTCCCGGTGCACTCTATGTATTTTAAATATAACTTATTTCACAGATCTTAGCAAGAAAATGTGTTGGCAAGCTTTGGTAGAAACGCATTGTTTTCCTACATATTTATCCGATTTTAATACAATGAGAAAAAAATATTTTAATTAAATGTCTTTTCTACATATGTAGCCGACGATTGCATTTGCTTCATATATGTAAAAATTGTTGGAGAACTTTTTATGAGTTGAATATTTGTCTTGCATTTCAGTGTATCTTCAAGCCTTCAGTGCATGTTCCTTCATGGTCTCGAGGTAGATATCAATGCCACTGTCGAGCAGGCTTTTATTCACCTCATCACGATGGAATTTTTAATGGGTCTTTAGTTGAAGGTAGGCCAAGTATATTTTGAAGCAAAGGTATTTACAAGAGGAAGTTCCATTCTGTAAACTTAAAACATGCTTGATTATTTCACTCACATTTTTATTCGATGATCGACTTTCCTCTAAGAAAGTTATTTTTAATATTCAAACCTTCTGCAATGGTTGTAACTAGGGATGGGAGCAAAACATCGATGTTTCGCAAACAACAAACAAACGATGTAATTCGTTCGATGTTCGATATTTTTACCATCGATTTTAGAAATTTGGAACATTGATAAAACATCGATATTAGATCCTGAAATGAAAACATCGGACATTTGATGTTGATACTAGATAGAAACATTATCTGCGAACTCTTTGATAGTGCCGATACAAACTATACCGCGGCATAGCGGCCCATTTTCAGCTGCACTCGAAAAAAGCCTTTTTTTGAGTAAATTTAGTAGATTATTTAATGTGATAGTGGTAGTAAAATAAAATGATTAAGTTAATCAATTTGAAATTTGTATGCAATGGCAAACTATCAGAACATCGATATTGTCAAACATCGATGTTCAGCCTTCGATGTTTCCCTAACATCGATATTACCATTCTATGTCAACATCGATCGCTACCATCGATGTTATAGGATCGATGTCCCATCCCTAGTTGTGACCGTTGATAAATCAACTTTAGGTCAAATTCACAGGTAAATACCAATTTACATTTATGTGCAAAGATTGAAATCTGGCTCTAATTCATTTATGTATTTAACGGCATGCCCAATTTATGAAGGCTTTTGCGGTTACAACCCTAAACAAGATAATATTCCATAAATTTTGGCATTCAGCGCCCACAACAGGGCATGTCAGCGGCACGATCCGGGTATAGTTTGGCTAATGTTTATACAAACTTCAAATAATTAATAATATCCCGGAGGTGTTGGTTAAACAGATGAAATAAATGTCAGCTGGGCAATAATTTTGAACACCGAATACTACCATTTATTTTAGAATCGAATAATGTAAACGAGATCAAGCGAAAAATATAAACTCTTTATACTACTAGATCTTATTGTGGGTGGTGTTAAGTTGCGTAATTTGTTAACTTTGTTAATTTTCTCCAATTGCCTTTAGCTGCCTCTATGTCATTCAATTTTTCTTTTTTTATAAGTAACTAGCATAATAAATACGATCTGGTCAGGCGCCACTTTCTATTTCAAGTGAGTTTTTGCAAACATTCCTTCTCACTATCTAATAGATAGAAAACCTTTAAATCACAACATTTTATTTTTTGCTTATTTTAAAAGCACCCTAGGAAAGTAGCAATTGTTCTAGTTCGAATCATTCGGGGCAAATTATGGTCTAAGGCTTTTTAAGAAATATACCCATTTTATGTGATTTATTCCAACTGTCAAACGAACAAAATTGGATTTTCCTCGTAATTTTTATCATCTGCCCTAATTACTTGTTCGGCTGTAAATAAAGAGGGTTATTGCTTTATCAAGATTTTCTGCCTCTGAAAGATCTCCGGGTAATAATTTTTTCGACTTATTAATTTTTTATTTTGCTGTCAAAAGGTTATTACTGAAAAACAACAAATGTTGGATAACGAGATGAATTAGAATCTTGAGAATATCAACTTCAGGCAGATCACGAAGATCACGATCTTTTTCTATATACAAAATTCAATATATGGTCGCTGAATTAAAGGTGAAAGAAACGTTATTTTGAATAGCTTCTGAATAGCGGTGCTTTGTTTCCTTGAAGTTTTCAGTAATAATGTTGCAAGATTTTAACATGACAATGGAAAGGACCGCTGAAAATAAAAAGGTAAATAGCACTTTTACAAATTTTCATTCTTGTTCCTCGGCCCACGTTTTACCAAAATAGTATAATATATACAGGGTTGCTCATTAGTGCCTCAAAGTGCGATATCTCAGTAAATATGGTATATTTTTTGTTGACGTTTGTTTTTTGTTTCCATGGTAACATGTACCCGGTTAACTTGATCTAAACAAAAATAAATTAATTTTCTTCCTTTTTGCAAATAGCTTAGA